CTACATCACTACCATAATCCCCAGATCCTGGTCTTGGAAACTGCTGTAAGGCTTTCTACTTTCAATTTAATGCTAGACTAGCTGATTATTCCTCCCTAACTGTATTCACTTGCCCTTGGGTCCTCCAAATATTTCCACCTTCTACAGAACAGTTTGCCAAATTTGAACTCTAACCTTGTCCTCACTCTTCCCTAAGTGGTGTGAAAATTTAACAAGCACAGTTTACACCATCAACCACTCTGGGAGTGAGATGGCAAACACAAATTTACCTAGAACACACGGCACAAAATCCCCACAAAACAGTCTCCAACATCAACATCAGGATATGGAGGAGCTGCTGGAGAGAGTCCAGGGGAGGCCAGGGAGATGCTCTGAGGGTGGAGCCCCTCTGCTCTGGAGCCAGGCTGGGAGAGCTGGGGGTGCTCACCTGGAGAGGAGAAGGCTCCAGGGAGAGCTCAGAGCCCCTGCCAGGGCCTGAAGGGGCTCCAGGAGAGCTGGAGAGGGATTGGGGACAAGGGATGGAGGGACAGGACACAGGGAATGGCTGAAACGTGGAAAAAGGCAGGTTTAGGTTAAATTTTGGGAAGGAATTTTTCCCTGTGAGGGTGGAGAGGCCCTGGCACAGGGTGCCCAGAGCAGCTGTGGCTGCTCCTGGATCCCTGGCAGTGCCCAAGGCCAGGTTAGACACTGTGGCTTGAAGCAGCCTGGGACAGTGGAAGGTGTCCCTACCCATGGCAGGGAGTGGCACTGGATGGTCCCTCCCAAGCCACACAATTCTATGATTCTAAGTTTGGGAAATACAAGCTTGTTCACCTCACCCATTTGTCCAGGAACTGATGCTCAATTAACTACTTTCACACATTCCTACCCCCTATAAGTAAAAATACTCTGGGGTCTTCTAGTCCTCCTTGTAGCTCCTCTCTGCTCAAATTCTCACAAATAACCATCAGTTCTGACACTGTTTCAGCCAAGACAAAACCCAACACCCTAACGTGATCTGACAGTATTTCACCACGCGGTGCTTCCAGCCTGTCCTGCACTATTTTCTGTACAGAGGTGCATCTTTATAAGGCTTCAGGTGAACAATGTGTAGAACAGTAAATGCCAAGCAGCTGCACAAGTGGGAAGAAGCTTCCCTTCATTATCCAGTTAAGTTCTGGAAGACACAAGCACTCCAATATCCACCTTAAATCACCGAAATGCATCCTTTAACAACCGCCTGCCACGAGCTCATCAGAAATTACAGCACTTAGGAAAATAACTCCAGACAAAACCACTCTGATCTCAGTCCTACTGACTCCACATAAATCACCTCAAACTGGTGCACAGCAATGTGTCTCGAGATTTTACCAGCAGTGCCACAGATCTGACTGGGATTCAGTGCTATCGAGTCACGATGTTCTCCTGAGCACGAGCAGCAGCTGCAGCCCAAGCACTGGGCTCCAACACCACATTTCCCTGCACTTGGCAAAGAAACCACATCACATTTTACAAGGACCAAATGCAACAACCATCCAGAAGGAAAATGTGGAGCACAGGATCATTTCAGAACTCCTTTTTCCAAACAGGATGATAAATTAAGGCAGCCAAAAGCTGCCATCATAATTAGCTGATGAGCAGTACACCAGGCTTTGGTTTAGAAGGAGTCAAACC